TCTTTGGTATAGCAGTGGAGGATTCCCTCGTATTCTGGATTCGCCATGCAAGCGGTCCGTGAAGGGCACTCTGGCCTGCTCGAGCAGCCGGGTCTGACAGAGACTGCCGTGAGAGACCCGTCGCACAAGGGCCCAGCACCCAAGAACATCGCCTTCGAGTTGCTTTTGGATGAAAACTCCAAGGTTCGAGCTCGTATACCCATGCGCGTTCAGATCTATCCTCATGATACGACGGACTCGATTGTGACGACGGTCAAAAATTTCTATGGCATTTACGATGGTACTGCCAATGGGGTCAGCTTCGAGGATGAAAATGGGATCACCCTCATCGCAAGGTACGAAAACCTCAAAAATAACAGGACTGTATATGTGCGAGTCATTCCTATTCAACCATTTGGGGATCACTTCTACAATGGCTTCCCTGTCGAGCCTCGCAAGCGGCCCAGTCTGGCGGAACCTTTCCAGATGACCGATGGCATGACGCCAGTGTTGGACCAGCCATCGCGCCCTGCCTCGCGCATGGCTAGGAAGCGCAGCACTTCTCCGTCAAACCGGAGTATGCGCAGTGCTTCTCAGCACAAGCCAGGCTCTCGTGCGGGTAACAAAAGCCGTGGCTCGAGTATCCATGGAGGATTCAATGATGATGACTACAGCGATACTGAGAGCGCTTATGCTCGTAGGGCTCGCAATGAGCTCTTCGCTAGCTCTGATATCAGCATGGAAAACATACTGCAAGATGGTCGTCGGAAACGACCCAAGTTTGACAGCTCTGTAAGTGACCCAAGTCCTTCGTCTTTTTGAATCCATCGCTAATATCCTTTTCCCCTTAGGAACTTCCCTTATTTGTTCCTCCTCAAGTGCCCCTCGCTACCTCTACCTCCTCCATCTCACCTCAACGTCGATCGGTTGGTCAGGAAGGCGCTGGGTCGCCTTTCGCCCGCCCTCCCCAACGCCCATATAGTTATCAACAAGCGCTTCCATCGCCGCAAAGCTATGGTCATAGTGAATATGGTATTCAATCGGGGCGCAATACGATGTATGCGACACCGGTTGTCCCCGACAATAATCGCATGCGCGACGCCTCGGGAGGTTACTCGGCTAGCCGAGTGAGTGGCCCGGGTGTATTGCCCACGCCTGACCCCACTATTGCAAGCTGCATCTCTGATGAAGATGTGGCCATGCAATTGATACGTCTGGGTGATGCGTCCAATTTCTCTCACGGTCGCACGTCGGCCTCAACATTGGACGACGCCTTCAGCGGCGCTGCTGATGCCGCCTCATCCACTGGCGCTACCAGTGATGGAGAAGACTTCAGTGAAGATGAGGATGACTTGCCAGCTCGTCGCCAGAGACTAGACTCAAGCCCAATGCTTCCACCGGGCACCATCAAGCGTCACCACAAGGGCTTGGATGACATCCTCCCCAGCGCAGACAGCAGTGACCACAGCTCAGATGGTGCCGACGATGGCATCAAGAGTGAAGGTGAAGAGGACATCCTGTACAAGGAGTTCGCTCCTAAGTCAAAGAAGCCCAAGAGCCGTCCCATGTCCTTCAAGGTTCGCAACCAGAAGCAGCCTTCTGCAAAGCAGGTTAAGAGCAAGGTCGCTGCGCCGGCTCCCCGCAAGCCGTCGGACAAGTCGGCCCCTCCTGTTCCACCTCTCAGCCCAGCTTCTTCCCGTAAGGTCTCCGGAGGCTCGGTCAACTTCCAGCATCAGCTCGGTGCGGATGAAGAAGACCTGTCGACCAAGCCTCGCTGCCAACGGTGCCGCAAGAGCAAGAAGGGATGTGACCGCCAACGTCCCTGCGGACGCTGCAAGGATGCCGGCATTGGCATTGAAGGCTGCGTCAGCGAAGACGAAGGAAATGGCCGCAAAGGCCGCTACGGCCGTCACATGGGTGTTCCCGTGAAGAAGAACGGAGAAGAAATGCTGGAAGACGAAGATGAGTTCCCAGCAATGCCAGCGACCCCTCCCGTTTCCGCGTCTATAGCAGACAAGAACAAGAAGCGGAAGCGCTAGTCGAGCTTCTGGCAGCGGTTGCCGGCGCCATGTTTGGGCGCAATGCATCGCATTTCTACCCTCCTTCGTGACCATGGGATCTCTCATTTATCTTGCCATCCTCACCCCCTCCTATCCCCTCTTTTCTAGCCATCTCCAGAGGACTATACACTCCTTATATTGTCATCATCTGTTCTTCCTCCTCTACACTCCCTTCCTTGGTTACAAACCATGCTTTTGACCTCAATATCCACTGCCAAGCGGTCGAATTGTTGTTGTGTCCCTTCGGCGTCTTAGTGTTTCTGCAGGCTATATGCTTCTTGTCACTTCCATTCGCTCCTTCGGAATCAATGCTACTGGGTGTTATCTCTGCTTATGTCGATTTCATGTGGTATTCGGATGGACCAGTAATGGAAATATATATTTTCACGTCGGGCCATACGTAAAGGTGCAGTAGGACGTACGAGATGTGCCAATCTTGCTTTTGTTTTTCCCCTCAAGTACGTCTGGAAGTCCATGGAGTTTATATATATTAAAATAGCAATTTTGTCCATAATTCAATACAATTGTGCTTCATCGCCAACGTGTCGCAGAGGGGTGGGTGGATCACGTGAGAAAGCGGTGTGAATGGCCCCGCAACTTTTTTGAAGAGCTCAACCTTCACGACTTCAGACGCCCGCATTGATCGCCGGCGAACTGATCTTCACATATTTCGCGCCTTATTCTCCCGAGGCCCAAAAAGCCCACACTCAACTATCCCAGCGCACCCTCCAACCCGAACGCGCTGCAGTCTAGCCCTTCCTACGAACTTTTTCCAACCCTCCAGCAAGCCGCTACGAGCGCCTTGGGTCTCAGCGACAATGCCTCCCAAAGGAGCTACCCGCGGCAGCGCCCGTGGAAGTACAGCCGCACGCGGTGCACGCACAACCTCAACCTCCACAACTCCCGCAGGCGGGGACCAAACCCAAGATACACCCGCGCCAGCCGGCGCCGGCGCCGCCAATCGATCCTCAGTGCAACGACTGCAATCTCTGAATAAGCGCACACCCTCCGGCAGCATTGCGCCGAGCAGTCGACCCCCTTCCGCTCTAGGTGGTGAGCCCGCCAAACCTGTTCTGAAATACAAGCCCAAGGCTGTTGGCCGCCGCAGCAAGCAGGAACGCGAGGAGATTGAGCGGCTTGAGCAGGAACGATACAATGAACGACTTAAGGAGGCTGCTGCTATTCAGCGTGGGCGTGGGGGCACTGCTCGTCGCGCTGGTTTCCGTGGTCGCGGTGGTATGGCTATGAGTATGGGAGGTGGATTTGCTCGAGGCGGCAAGCGTGGTCGCGGTGGTGGTGGGTTTGGTGGTGGAGGTGGCGGCGGCGGCGGCGGTGGTGTTGGTGGTGTTGGTTCAGGGCGAAATCGCTCTGGATTCACTGGTGGTGACCGTTCGCGTGGGAATGACTCTTCGGACGATGAGAGCGGACTTCGCATGAGTATTGATCATATCAACCTCGACAGCGATGATGATGAATACGACACAAGCAAGAATGGGAAGGGGAAGATGCCTAGTAGGTCTCGCACTGAACGTGCTCTTCGTCCTGTTCGTATTGCGCGCCATGAGCATGAGGAGCGGGTTATCAGTGTCAACATGGAGTCTAGCTCTAGCAGGGCTGCTGAGCTTCGTGATAAAGCAGAGAAGGAGAAGGTCGCTAAGGATTCGGAGAAGAGACGCACAGATGAACCTCGTATCAAGCCTGACCCCGAGGACGAGGATTCTGTCATGGCGGGGGATATTCCCCACGCCGACGACGATGGGTTCCTTCCAGCGCAGAACGTTCGTGTTCGCTCAGCATTGAGTCAGAGCCCTACCAAAAGACGCACAGCAGACTTACGATCTTCGCAACCCGCACCCTCCCCCGAGCCCGAGATTCCAGACCCACGCAGCCTCCTTCACACCAAGGAGGAAATCGAAGAATATGACCGTCACATGGAAGATCTATCTTTCATCAAGGAGCTTCTCGTCCCACCTCCATCGAAGAAGAAGGCTACACCGGAAGCACAGACAGAGGGCGCCACAGAAGCTACCGCAGCAGATGCCAGCACCACAGCGGAGGGACAGGATGCCGAAAAAGAAACCGAAGAGGAAGAAGAAGAGAGCCATCTGTCGGGCCACCTATTCCTCATGCAATTCCCGCCCATGACACCAAACCTCCACATCGTAGGCTCAGACACCAACCAATACCAACCCGCAGCCGCCCCCGAAAACCAGAACCAGAACCCGATCAAACGTGAAGGAGGCGCCGAAGTGGAGATCGTGGAAACCACCCAACCCACAACCACACCCCAAGAAAAAGACATCATCACCGCCAACAAACCCTGGTCCCTGCCAGCCGGCCGTGTGGGCAAACTGAACGTACACAAATCCGGACGTGTGACCCTCGATTGGGGTGGCATCAGCATGGAACTGAACCGTGGTGCGCCCGTTGGCTTTGTGCAGGAGGCGGTTATCGTCTCGCCTCCTGTCAATACCGGTGCGGATGCTGAAGAGGACGATCCCGAGGCTGATCAGTCCGAGAATCGGGTTTGGTCGATGGGTCAGTTGTCTGGCAAGTTTACCGTCACGCCTAACTGGGATGAGATGCTTTGAATGCCCAATGCATTCCTAAGCCATTACGATTGAAGGAAATTTCGAAAGGTCATAGCGATATATATTCTGTTCATTTATGCATAGGTAGTTACATCTACTGGATAGAATAGAAGCCCTAAAGAGCATCAAACAATGCAAACTTGCTCAACTTTAAGTTGCTTAGTAACAGCCTTGTAATACAGCCTGAGGCAAAGATGCCAAGACCCTGACTCGCGCATCCATCGCGCTGGGGGTTTCAAGCCCAAGTCTAAGTATTGCATATACCCATCCCAACAGTCTTTCTAACGGTGGTCTCAACTAAATACCCACCACTCCTACCTCTACAATGTCTTTATGAGCCAATCGAGTGCCTTCAGCGCGAACCTCTGCGATGTCGCTGCGCCCTTTCGTACAATTTGCGCATGTCTTTCGCCATGGCCAGAACATTGGACCCATAATCCAACACCTGGGGCCCTTTACTCGATCTTATGACAGCATTCGCGCATACCATCCTGCAAGGAAACACACCAACAGAGCTTCATTCACACCGAGTTTACTTAGCGATCGTTTGAGACCTGCACATACAATCCAAAACCATGGCAAGATCTCATCAATCAGTCAGTGCCGCCATGAATCCTCAAGCAGCGATCCAGAGCTCTGCGCCCACTGCCGAGGCAAAATAAACCCGAAGCACCGAAGGCTAGTCGATTCCAACGACCGCACGAAAGGCTGGCACTGCAGAGCATGCATCCGCATCGTTAAAGCTCAAGGCGCCCTTCCAAACGAGCAACAACTTGCATCCATGCGCCGACGAAGACTGTGGAAGGAAAGCGGCGAGTTGCATAAGTCAAGCCCGTGCCGTAAATGCGGAATTGAGACTGCCCCGACATCAAGGCGTCAATTCGTCGACCCGGACAATCCCTATGCTGGCTTCCACTGCCGAGCATGTGTCCAGCGTGCAATACTCCCGGCCGAGCTAGAAATACAAAATGCCCAATATGGGATCTGGCATGGTGGTCTTGGGCCTGGGATTCCGATTGCGCACAAACGCGAATATCCTTGTGATCACTGTGGTGAACCTGTTACACCGGAAAAGAAGCGGCGTTATGTTGATTCCGGGAATTCATCGGCTGGATATTACTGTCGGTCTTGTGCGCGGCGCTTGTGTCTTGAGGATAAGTTGCCAACCGAGGCACAATTAAAGGCTATCAAGGTGCTACGTGGGAAACTGGCTAAGTTTGTGACTGCACGGAAACAGAAAAACCCTTGTCAGCACTGTGGCGATATAACTTTGCCCGGGAGCAGGCGCACGCTTGTCAAGTCTGGGGACTTTTCTTCTGGGTATTACTGTCGGCCTTGTGCTCAGCATCAGCGGATGAAGGATGAATTGCCTAGTGAGATGGCGATTAGAGATCGTAGGCTGCGCAAACATCTCAAATTGAAACGTCTGCGTTTGTTGGAATATCAGCAGAAACTGCAGTCCGAGACGGAGCAGGCAGAGCAGGCCAAGTCAACAGAGACCCCTGAAGAGAAGGATCAAGGCTGATATTGAGGCTGGTCAGTGGCTTGTTCATATAGGCGCTACGAACTTTAGACTCCCGTTTTTGGAAGATTGGGTGGGGTGGTAGGGGGTGTGATATTAACTATCCAAGAGAAGGGGCCAGCCCCATAAGCTGTAAATAGCTCCAGCACACAACAAATAGCTCATATAAGCCGGGAATAGCTCATATGAAGCCCTAAGTATACATATAGACACGGGAGCTCTCAACCAATCACATCGCGCCTTTAGGGGCAACCCCCACGGGCGTCCCTGAGTCTCCAACGGACCAATCACCGCAGTAACTTGCCTCATCTTGATTTTCCCCCTTTCTCCTTTCTTTTTCCTACTATTTGAGAGGATTTAAGAGGATCTGGATTCAGGGGAAAGAGAGCAAGGGCGAGACCAGTGATTCAAGTGAGGAGGCTCTGTACGGACTACCGATTTGGCCCCCTATTCCCAGTTGCCTGACTCCTGCGACAATCCGACAATCCACTTAATTGGGCGTGGCATGTCCTGAACCCCCCTCAAAATCGTGATTCTGAGATCCAAGACATATCCTACGAGTATCCTCACTTCTCCAAACCCCAGACACTACTTCCAACCGTTGTGTTGCCTCGCCAACTTAAGACAACCCCACGACCACGACCCGCACCAACCTAGCTTGGCGTTGCTTGTCTCTTGCAGGCACCAACCCAAGCATTCAAGCGCACGCATACCAGTCAATCTCCATACATACCCTCGAAATCCACTATTCCTCTCGGTCACAATGAAACCAGCCATGCTTCTGGCCTTGTTGGCCCCGGCGGCAGCCCTCGCCGAATCACAACAACAACCCGCGACAGCGTCCGCCGTTTCCTCTGATTTTGCGCACAACTCGCCCACCGTCTCATTAGCGGAAATGGGTGTGCGCGATCGGGATCGTTTCGTTCCGGTTGCCGGTCTGGATTCGGTGTTGGTTGATGAGACGGGAAAGTTGGCTGCCAGACATGTGCTTCAGGCGCGCAGTGAAGGTTCACTGGGTCAGACGCCGTGGATTGGCATGGCTATTGGCTTGACTTTTACTGCTTTGGCGGCTGTTATGTTGGGGTGATTCTGATCCTCTATGGAGTGGATTGCTCAGTATGATGCTGCCAACGCTTGACTTTTGTTTATCTTCATCTTCACCTTCACCTTCACCTTCACCTTCGACTCTGACCTATATGCCATTCTTCACGACCTCTTTCTTCCTTCTCTCTCGACACGACATGTGAAACGTCGGGCCCACCCTCCAAGCCCACTTCTTGATCCGCTCACACCAAGTGGACCTATATCCATTTCCAGTTCCAGTTCAGACTTTGCAGCGGATTTCTGACCATTTTATTGTCTATTTTGCATCCATGGCCTTTCTCAGGCGTGGGATTGGATCATTGCCATTATCATTTGAGCCCTTTTTTGCCTTCTATCATTTCTTTACGTCTTTCCTGACGTGCAAACTTGATGTTTGTTACTGTGTGCCCTTTGTGTACCAGCCGTACTGCCGGGAGTATAGATTTGCAGTTTGTATACATGTTGTACATGATACCTTTTTTTTTCTGTTCTTTTCTTGTTGAGATGTTCCTTTGTGTACATGACATGATTTTATTTAACCTTTAATCAGTGTATATAGATATGGCCAATACGATGTGATTATACAATTATTACTTTTGCTTTTGCTTTTTCTTTATTTGGCTCTACTTCGATGGTCTGCGCCTCCTTTCATACAGCACAGGCGGGGTGGCTTGGGGTCTTGGGGATTTGTGTGATTTCTTTGTTCCTTGCGCATCCTCAACCTACAGTATTCCTCAGCTTCGGATCTTTATTTTGCTTCCTCTGTTTCTGAAATGTACTGTATATACTGTATTGTCTTCCTACTAATCGTATCTTTACCCCTATTTTCGGACTCCTGACTAGGCTTGGGAGTCCACTGAGTCCTGTTAGTCCTCTGAATCCGCTTGGGGGATCTGGGACTGGGACTGGGACGAGGGTTGTAAGTCCCGTCCGAACTGGGAGTGTTGGTGGTTCTGGATTTGCTGCTGCTGTTGGGACTGCTTTGACTTTTGCTGAAGAGGTTGGTGAGAGGCATGTTAATCTTGTTAGGGAGGGGATGAGTCCTGTTGAGATTGGGCCGGGGATTGAAGTAGAGGTGAAGGGGGTGGAGAAGAAAGAGGAACAGATGGATAAGGAGAAAGAGAAGGAATATGAGGGTTCTCATATCTTGATGACGGTTGGCGGTAATGATGGGCTAATTGATATTGATATCCCACCAGTAATGCGATGAAATACCAGCATAATGTCTCTATAACTCAAATTTCATGCTCATCTCAACCCTCTAGTAGACATTATATTATCATTATTCTATTTACACTATATCTTACAAACTCCAAGCTAGGTGGCATCCATCATCCACAGACAGGATCATCGAACCCACGCGTCCACAGCAACGAACCCATAATAACAACCAAGAACCCAAGAGCAACAACCACACTAGTAACCCCATAAACATAAGCATGGCGACGACGGGACAGCCCATTCAACTCAATAACCCAAGTGCTAATAGTCGTCGCACATCCACAAAACCCATCCATAACACCCTGCAGCACCTGGCATCCAGTCAAAGCAGCAGGAAACACAGCCCCAAGACCACTGACATGCTGAAGATCATAACAAACACCCTCAACGACAGTTCCAAAAATATTAACAGTAAACGTGCCAAGCGGGAACGTAGGAATACGGCTGTTCAAATACAGCGAGACATAGAATCGAAACAGACACCCAAGTGGCGCAAAGACGAGTGCAAATACAGCCCGGCCACGCCAGACATCCGGGCCATCGTGTCGGTCCGGTGGCCAGATCGCTAGAAACACTGCGCCGAGCCAACAGCCCCATGCCAGAACGACAACCACACGGTCCAGGACATATCGCGTGAGGTTGAATGGAACAGTAGGCGTAAAGCGCGTCAATGCGAGAGCAAGGTGCGCGCCGAAGATCAGCGCTGATAAACTCAGCGATACTGTCAACAGTATAACTGCAACGAGCGCCATGAAGCTATACCCGCCATTTCGCGACGCAATAGTCGATCCGGCAGGCAACGACGGGTCAGGGAGGGCGTTAGCAAGCGCAAGAAAAACATCCCGAAGGAACGACGAGAAAGAGGTGAAGCAACCACAAAATCCCGTCGTCAGACCAATATACAGCGGGATAGACTTCTTCACAGCCTTATGTTTCTTCGCATGGGCTTCGACAGCTCCTGCGTCTGGAGGCGCATCTTTGTCTTGATGCACTGGCTTCTCGCCCCATTCCTCCCAAAACAAATTCTTGTCTTCGGCCAGGAATCCCATTACCAGACTGCCGCCCACGTTCGCCCATAGCACGCCGGTGACGACGGGCGCGCCCGTGTAAAATGTTAGGGCTTGGAGTCCGAGGCGGGCTAGTGTGCCCAGTAATGAGAAGAAGATTAGGTAGGAGACGGTGTAGAGGTGGGTTGCGTGTTTAGAGAGGGGTGCAGATGCGAGCTTGGGCGCGTGTTCAGCTAGGGGATGCCATTGTTCGGTTGGGTTGGGAGATTGGGGTTGGGGGTGGGAGGTTGTTTCTGATGGATGACTGACCTGGAGGTCAGTCAGTTCCATTGCCTTGGCTATCAGAGGAAGAGGAAGAGAAAGATAGAGATATGGAGATTGCCGGAGACCGATGTGGGTCAGGTGGAGATAACATTAGTATAGAGGGGAAGTAGATAAGGCATGTACTGCTACTCCCCTCTTCTCTTCTTCTCTCCCTCTCTCTCTGTCTCTCTGTGTCTTTTTTTCTCTTTCTCTCTTCTTTATACTCTTCTCACATTCCCATCATGTCTCTCCCGCAGAATGTCCACGTCTCTTCCCACCCCTGTCTGCACGCTAAACTCTCCCTCATCCGCTCAGAGTCCACCACTCCACGCGAGACAAGGGGCCTAGTTCATGACATTGCCACTATTCTGGGCGTGGAAGCCTTTGCAGGTCTGAAGCTGACCAAGACAGGAACTGTGAGAGTCCTATTCACCCATATAAGCCATGAGAATTCCCCCCGAACCCGAATACTAACATCCCTGCAGGACCGCACCCCTCTCGGTGTCGAATATGAGACCCAGAGCATTGACCCGGCAGACCTGGCTCTAGTTCCGATCTTGCGGTCTGGCCTAGGCATGGTTGATGGTAAGTATCTTGTACTTTACCCTATAAGCTCCTTTCCCCGTCGCCTGCTACAGTATTACCCATCTACATTCTACCTGTACCTTTCCTTACCTTTCCTATTACAATTCCTGCACCTGTATCCCATAACCAAAACCCAAACCAAAAGTCACAACCACACTGCAATACACCCAATCTGGCTCCCCTCCAACAAAACCCAAACTAACAAAAGAAAGCCCTAAACGACCTCCTCCCAACCCCAGTCCCAGTTTACCACCTAGGCCTATTCCGTGAGAAGGCAACTCTCCAACCTGTAGAGTACTACAACAACCTCCCGTTCCACCGGTCAGAGCTCTCACCAGCCTCACCAGCATCCCTAAACCAGGGAACGAACAGCGCAGCAGCAAGTCTGGCCGTCCTACTCGACCCCGTCATTGCAACCGGCGCCACGGCCGAAGCGGCCATCCAGCTGTTGCGAGATTGGGGCGTGAAGAAGGTTATTATGCTTAGTGTGCTTGCTTCTGAGGATGGTGTCAAGCGGGCTGCTGGGACTTGGGCTGAGGGGGTGGAGGTTTGGGCTGGAGCTATTGATGCGGGGGTTAATGAGAAGGGGATGATTGTGCCTGGTCTTGGGGATATTGGGGATCGGTTGTTTGTTGCTATTGGGAAGTAAGTTTACCTCTTTACTCGATAGCATAGTGTTGGTGGAGGTGGAGATGGGTGGGTCTGTGGTTTATTTACGGCTTCATTTCCGGATAGATAGTAGAGCTGATACTATTTACTATGCATACAAGTTACGGAAATTATTACAAGTGATCATGGTTGTCCCCGCAAATAATAAATTCATCGATTACGTATAGTACATATAAACGGCATAAAAGCATGTGCAAGGAGAACAAAAGGCGAAAGGAAAAATAAAAGTGAAAACGATGCTGAACAGAAAGCAAAGCGCAAGATAGACGGGGAAAAGGACATGGCAATTAACATCAAATACAGCGACTGGAAACCCAGCCAGAGAAGCAGATGCAGATGCACACAAAGGAAAGAAAAACAATAACGCAAGAAAAACAAAAGGTATCGAGAGCACGAAAAGCAGATGGACTGGGGGGCACGATTAGGGGTTAAGATGAACCGAATAAAAGAAGAAAACTCCATGGAGTGCGAGAGAACACACAGGACCAGCCAGGTGTCGAAGACGGAAAGCAGAAACACCACACTGGACTCCCTGGTGCAGAAAAGCAGGAAGATGCATAAATAAAAAAAAAAGCAAAGCAAAGAAAAGAGAAATCAATCCAAAGAACCCGGAACCACCAAGAGGGATATCAAGCGAAGTATTCAATCCCAAACACCCCGCCTTGCCCACTGGTATTGTCCAGTCCCGTTGCCGAAGTGTCCCAAAGCATCCAACAAAGGAGAGTAAGAACCCGAAATAAATCAAAAGCAGATGAACTCAAGGAAATAACTCAAGGAAATTTAATAAGCAGTGCCGACGCTGGCAAGCGACTTAGTTGGCACTGCGTGGATCGGCTGATCCTTGCCGACGCGGAGGGAATCCTCGTAGCCGACTAGGGCCTGAGAGTGCAGCTTGAACGACTCGCCCATGAGTTTGGTGATACTAGAGATGGTTAGTAAAGATCAACAGAAGTGAATCGGGTAGGACTTACCCCCAGACAACCACGCCGTCTAGGATGTTACCCCATACACGGGCGACGGTGGAGCTGAGCTTGCCAAAGGCATCGATGGCGTCGTCGTCAAACAGGTTGCGCACTTTGTTGTAGATGGCCATTTCGGCCTCAGTCGCCGGCTCATCGTCATGTTCCAGGCGGTAGAGCCAGAGGCTCAGGATGACCATCAGATCCAGGCCGCAGAGAGGGTGCTCGACACTCCAGTTAGTGGCGGAGGTTTTGGCAACCCAGTTGATGCCTTGAATGGCGGCAATCTCAATGCATTCAAAGCATTGCTGAACAACCTTGTTCATCTCCTGGGAGCGCTTGACCTTCTCACGAGCGACGGTCATAGCGGCCGCGACTTCGTACGAGGAGTGATACCGCATGGCCTCCTGGATGGACTTCAGGTCAACTTCCAGGCGGGCACGAGTGTTGCGGTAGACTGCCATCGAGTTGAATATCAGCGGGTGGCCCTTCTGGGGGGTGCTGAGCGGGACGACAATGGTCTCGGGCTCGCACACCTCCAGGGAGCTCTCCCAAGTCTCGAGAGCAAGACGGAGCTTGTACTCGGTAACCACGTCCTGCAAAGCCTCGAAGCTGCGCTTGTGGTTCCAGACCTGCAAGAACAGGGCATTGATCAGGACGCGAGTGGCGAAAGCACTGTAGCGGGTCTGCTCGCCCTGGAAGAGGAAGTCGTGGGCCTCGCGCACGGTGAGGGCACTGGTAGCAACGCTGCGGCGCCAGGTGTCCTCGTCGGCGGCGTCGAGGTTCCACAGGGACTCGGAAGAGGGAAGCTCCAGGTCGTCGAACTCATCGAAGCTCATGGCAGGAGTGTGGTTGAACGTGAGAGTCAACATGCCGAAGAAAATGTACACAGCGAAGTATGTGCGACGGCAAGACTCATCCTCGATCCACTCCTCACGAGAGGGATGCACATTCTGGCGGGCCTGGGTGCGTACCTTCAGTTGGTACCGGTTGCCGGCAACCATGTTGGCGAGGAGACTCTTGATGGAGCACGTCCATTCGAGACCCTTAGGGTCGCCACTCCAGCTTTCAAAGACCATGTTCAACAGAGTAGCCTGCATCAACCATAGGGGGCACTTGCGAGAGTCGAAGTTGTCCTTGTGTTGGAGGAACTGGTTCACCAAAACCTTGGAGCCGACATGGAGCATGAAAGCGTGCTCGCGCTCGAAGGTGTACAGAGCGCCGATCGACAAAACGGCAAGGAGCAGTGGTGCCGAGATGTGAGCGGGCTGGAACGATTCCTGGTGGAGGAAGGGCAGGTGAGGGTGGTAAAGGTTAAAGTAAGTAGAGAGATAACGGTTCAGTGCCACAGTGGGCGGGAGCTGGAAAGTGTCAGGCAGCGCACCCAACGAGTCAGCACTCTGTACCCGGTCAACCACGTAGTTGCGTTCCATCTCGTTAGCGAGTTGAGGCGCCTTGGGGAGAGTGAGGGCCTGGCTGGGGCCGGGCGAACGACGGTAGTTGACAGGGCTAACCGGACCCGTCATGGAGGGGTACGGCGACAGGGCATTCGGGGTAGAGTTGCCAGACATGGGAAGGGAGTTGGACAGGAGAACGTCTCCGACAGGGCCATGGCGATCGACGAGGGTAGGCATCGAGCCAGTTTCCGCGGGGGAGACAAGGGTGTCCCAGGGCATCTGCGGCAAAGTGGCGTTGCCTGACAGGTAGGGCTCGTAGCCGCGCCCAGGCGAAAGCGATTCGGAACGCTCGGAGACCTGACCGGTCGCCGCTGCTGCAGCCTTATGTTGGAAATCTGTCATCAACATGGCTGCAGTTTCAAGGTCGACCATACCATCGCTGCTGGCCTCAATCTGCTCCAACGTCGTCGGGTCCACAGTGACCGACGGTTTCGATGGGGCAGATGAGTTTTTCTGAACCCCTCCACCACGTCTGCGCCCCTCGGCCACGAGGGGGATTCCACCATCCTTGGCGTGCACAGTTCGATCATGGCGCAATAGAAGGTCGCGACGGACAAAGGTACTGCGGCATTTTAAGCACTTGAAGGGTCTCTCTTTTGTGTCTATTTTACGCGTTAGCCAGTTAGTCAGAAGGGTAACTCCGGGTTCCGCAGTCACCTGCTACTTACGGGAGCGTTCATGACGACTGCGATGTTCGCTTCTACTGAATGCGCGATTGCAAAATTGGCACTTGTATTTCTTCTCTGGGGCTGAAGCCTTCTTAGCCGGCGAGTTGGCTGCTCCGGGGGCGGAAGGAGCCATATCGATGTTGAATATCGACTTAGAGCGTAAACGGTGGTATTGTCCCCTGGGTAAGTTCGCACCGGTTTTGTAGGCGTGTCGACGACAAGAGTTCGTTGGGGAGTCTGATCATTCCTTGAAGCGATGAAGCGGGGGGGGAAACAAAGGGTATCGAAGTAAGTGTGTCCAGCCACAAAATGTAAAAATTAAGAAAAATCAACGCTGAAAGAAAGGTGGGATAGGAGGGGGGAGGAGGAGGGGAGGGGGGGAAAGATGAGGAGAATAAGAAGGAATTTGGGAAACCGAGGGGGGAAAGCGAGAAGGGAGGGGGAGTGGTCGTGGGCCCAAGCATCGCTTACTCACATCACCAGCCCCCCTTCTTATCACCACGCACTCCCCTTTCTTTCTTTGTTACCATACAAATTCGACACGTAATTATTCTCGCCCACATGGCTCCCCTGAGAGGCGATCATAGTGGATATGCCCCTCGCTCATATGAGATTAGGCATGTGAGACTACCCCCTACAGGGATTATTATTATACAGTACATCTGGGCATCTGCATGTCTACTCTGTGTCTACGTGACCGGACAGAGTAGATGTTAAGATTAGTACCATGGTTCAACCCCTCTCAACCCCTCCGATCTGCGACAACACAAACTCCGAACAGGGATATAATGAGGTGCTTGTATACTGGAAATCATTTTGCATTTGCCCTCATCGTAGGTATCGTAGGTATCGTACTTTTGTTCGCCTCATTTACTGACTGGTCCATATCCCGTCTCGTCACCCCGCCTTGTGTGGCTGTTCACTGTGCCACTCCAGCATTACATTCTACCCCTCCGTTGCCCTTATCACTTGCCCATAATGCATAGATCTGCGCGAATCGGAGCTTTGGGGATTCTCGATCCCCTAAATGGGCCCACAGTGGACGGTGAGGTCAACGTACAGTACTAGTTCTACTAGTACACCGCTGACAGCTGTAATTTGAGTATCGCCAGTTCCCGGGTGGGGCATCGCGTCGACTTACATCAGACCCGATGATCCCGGACGCGGTTACTGAGGAGACGCGCTCGCGTCGAGATTGCAACAATACAATGGACTGTACATTGACCTGGATAGTGAGAGATATCAAATTATTACCCCTCGCCCTGCCCCCTTGATCCGGAACCTCCAAACAAACTCCCGGACTCCCGGCAGATCATCGAAGCATCGAATCTTCTCCGATCTGGCCCTTCATGTACGCAGCGGTGAAGCCCGGGTGGCTTTGGACAGCAAAAAGCACGATCCACTTCCCGATGCAGCGGACCGACCCCGTTCAACGTTCTCGACCACAAATGACAAAGGTCAAGTATATCGGTGACTTGACCGCACCTACGGAGTGCTGGACGGTGCCTAGGTAGCATACATAAGGTCCTTACCTCCCGATCCACCCCATTCCCGATCCCTTGGATCCCTCTCTCATTCCAAAATCACACAAGAAATCAAAAATCCACAGATCCCGTGTAATGGATCTGCAATATGAGGATCCAATCGGACCAGTTACGAATCAGACCTCTAATTGTTCCTGGCAAGAATTTCAGGAACTTCTTCCCCGGCGCCGGCCCCTGAACTAGTGGACACCGCCATCGTCCCGACAACTCCAGGCCCAGGTCTGGAATTTCTCTATCCAAGCTAAGCTACACTACGGAACACCTTAATGAAGCTCACTTGTCGGTGAAGACGACTTCGTGTCAATATCTCCCTCACCGCTTCTGCGAAAGCATCAACCGAAGCCCAACTACAGTAGGGTAGGGTAAAGATCCACTCCAACCCTTGAGACGGTGAAGCCTTGAATCTCGCCTAAATAGTCGGAAATTCCCACTTCCCACAATTCCATCCATTTCAATGCCAATTCCCGCTGAAAACTGCCAGGGCGCACCCCATTGTGCGCGCTATCCTCGATACACTTTCGCTAACCGATGGGTCTGTACAATGGACCCCCCCCCCAACTTCCGTTGGAAAAAAAGCGAGAAAAACGCAAAAATCCAAGACACCCTCCACCCTCCACTCTCAGCGCGTCCTCCGTAAAGTTCCTTTGCACGGAGTACAGTGCGGGTCAGTGGGGTCTCCCAAGAAATACACACAGAGTACTGTAATACAATCGCAAATCCGCCTGCCTACTTGGTCCAGGTCCAGCTCGGGTCCAGCTCAAAAGTCAATTGAATTTGGACTGTACGTGCTCGACACGTTTTGCCGTTTCCCAACGCGCGAGTCTGGACTCGGACTGTATCTGTATTGTCCAGAGACGCGGACACGGGTATACCGAAGCTTTTCGTGTACATGTCAACGGAGCGCGTGCGCATATACATGTACACATAAATTGATAATGAAACATATCTGTATCCGCGGACCTGTACTGTATGATATGTTTCATATCCAACTAAACTGACAGCCCTGTTCGCGGATTGGCACCTGGCACACCCCTTTCAAGTCTCGATCCGTGGAAACATGATCTATCGCGATCGGGAAGTAGTCCGGGGAAGAGGTTCCGGTCCATGGTTCACTCCCGTCCAACATCACGTTTCGATCTTTGATCTGTCAATTCCTTTGCTATCTGATCCTATATAGTACTCTACATGTATAATTCTGACTCTGCGCGCCACTTTGCCATTTGCCATCAGCCATCAAACACTCTATGGTGTGCTGCATGCTGTGTTGATGTGTGCCGTGCATATACTGCATGGTGTGTGCGCATCCCGGATTAATTGGTGGTGGTCCGCCCGATGCAGGGGATACAAACAAGCACAGCATAGCACGGCGCACGCCTCAAACACGGATGAATCACAATTGGTAATTATTGGATCTGTGTTGTTTATATATCGGATATCGAATATTGAATGCAGAAAGAAGCAAACACCGACACCAATGCCAACATTGGCATCAAACAAAGGCACCGGTCTCCTACTGCACTTTACAGTGTACAATGTACATGCCCGGAGAGTAGAACTATCCCCGGAGGAAACCGTGGAATTTTCTCGAAAAAGTGGACACGGACACGGTATTGTCCAGCTTCAGCGCCAGCTCAACTCAGCTTACTCCGACAGAACGGAACCAGGAGTTGCGGACACGGAGAACGGAGACCGCGGAACGCCCGGAGAACCTTCTACGTTCGATTTCCCAGGGCTCTATTGACTAAGGTTTAAACGTCTGACGACGGTCGTCGAGGAATGACACCACTAGCCTTCCATAGTGCATTAGACTATATACGAGTTACTCCATCGAGCTGGGCGAGAATTGGGATTGAATTGGAAATAAGTGGGGGTGGAAAGGGCAAGGGGGTGTGGGCCGAGAAGAGAAGGAACTTGTAGGATGACCTTCGCAGAACAAATGCAAAAATGGAAGTGGGAGTGGGAGTGGGAGTGGGAAAAAAGGGGCAGAGCTGGTCAGGATCATCGGGACCCGAGATTCTGGGTAAACTAGGGGCGCTGCCTGAGTGTTTCCAATTGGATGAGGCTTGCACCGAGCGGCAGGGTTGGGTCTCGGCTGGTGGAAACCCGTCCGGTTGGGTGCTTTGTGATTGATGATGAGGTCTTTTCTGGGTTCCTGCGAGGTCCTGCAAGGAACAAGGTACGAGGAGGGTCTGTGGCGATTTTTACTTTGAGCTTACTGTGCTCTGGAGAATTGGACTTCCAGGTTTCAGGTGGCTGTTGGATTTTGAGCTCTGACTGGTTGGTTTGTTTGTGGAATACGTTGCAATTGATGAATATTGAAGCATTGGATAGTTGAAAACATAGCAGCTTATAGATTCTGCTAGCAACTCTATATCTATGTAGAATATGCCTTGTAGTGGAGTTACACCCTTAGTAGTGAGGCTTTCTAGCTGACGGTTATTTCGATGTACGTATATCCGATGCTTGACTCTTGCTGCAATCTTGGTCAATGATTGCAGTGCTACGGAGGATAGTAACCAACCGGGTACTTAGTTAAACTGTTTCTGACTGTTAGACATGCTTTTAATTGAGATGTTGGTGTTCTAGGCCATTTGAGTCAAGGTATTGTAAATATATATCTATGGACTTCGACCCACCAACGAATCTACTTGGAACATCATACTCCTAGTTCATCCCCTCTTTGTATCATACTCTGGCAGCCTGGTTTGATTTATCTTGTCAGTAATACCCCAATACAGTAGAGTAGAAGGTTTGGTCGGCAATTGAACCCTGCATGGGGCACGACACGAACACGATCAAGGATACGGAGCAAGTTCCTGATTTGACACACAGCATACCCACCAATGCACAAATTACATCCAGGTATCCCGGGGCATTACGTACATGATGAATACATAATGTATACTAGACATTCAGGCGTTTGGTCTACCATCGAACCCAATTATACGCTCATGCTAGGACCGCGTGCTCACTGGTTTATTACAATGATCAGGTATATAGTTTGATGAGCCATATTACACTTTCTCGCCCTGATGTGGTTACGACATTATTGGCACGATATTGCCCGCCTGTGATGATTTTCCTGATCTACCTTGGCCATACCGAAGTAGGGTTCTGCTTGCTCATCGCCCAACTACAGTACGGAGTATCTGAGGGCTTTATGTAAATGTACGCATTGTAATAACTTAACTGATACACGCCGAAAGCAGGGCAACCTCTTACATTATTTAGAACCACAGTCATCTCCATGAGGAGAGACGGAAAGTGGATAAATCCCCAGCCTCCGGGTCCACCGTGCATGATAACGGTCATGCATAAGTGACTATGTCCTCATTTTTAGGACTGTCTCGATCTGATCATCTGTATAGGTAACAGACCGAAAATTGCCATCGCGTACTATGGAAAGGGCGTATGAGCCTAAAGTAAATAGTGAGGCAGGCCGTGGCCGAATTGAAAATGGGTCATGCTATCACCTCCAGCCCAATAAAACCGCACCATCTGAGCCCGAGGTTTGAGTGGGTGCTGCTTCTTTCGTCACGAGCAGAATTATCGCGGATCGAAAGGACGTGTGGGGGTATTGTGAGATGTAAAGGCCATGTTGTGATTCTTTTTGATATGCCTGGACGCGCTCGTGTCACGCGCTCGTGTCCCTGGGCACTGGACACTGAACACTGGATTTGGCGTTTCGGAATATGCCTACATCTAGCATGCCATGCCGTAGTTGAGCCATCCAAGATCTTTGTCTACCCATGCTTGCATCGACCGCGCCGCGCGGACATTGTAGGGACGAGCGTCAGCACGATTCAATTCAACCCAAGCCCCGACGGTGGGAACTGAATACCCACTTTAGAGTATTTCGTTATCAAATACATTAAAAACTGCCTTCTAGAACGTTTTTGGCGGCTTCCAGACTGTTTTTTCCTGAGAAACGCCAGGGTTCATATATATTACCCGAATATAATACTTCCCTGTAGCCACGGTCACACTGGTTTGGTTGGATATTGAGTCTCATTGACAGCTTTGACCCTGAGACTTTGGGATTGCATTGTCGAGTCCACATTTTAGATGTCTAGATACCGAACTTTGTCCCTTACAGTACTGTTTGAGCTAGGAATCCTCCATCAATTATTGGAAGTTTACGTATAACATGCGAAGAAGTGTACAAATAGGGGCAATTTGCAGAAGATCACTCTCCCATGTGCTAGCCGCGGTCGATCATAACTGCCGATTCATTGGAGGTCCGAACGCTTCCCAATACTGCGTTCTACAGGCCTATAGGTTCCAAGGTCCCTAAGCTGACTGGAGATGTGACTGTAATGGAAATCTCGTCACACATAGTGGGGAATACTCTGTACTCCGTATACATAGGCATAGTAAAGCTATACACATTGAACCAATACTATTCCGTAGACAGAACATAACTATCATAACCATAAGTTGAGTCGAGATGCACTGTAAATAGATATAAAATGCAATGAGCTCTGCTTATACATGCCTCATGGCTGAGTCCAGAGCTGATACACCATGGTAATATTACAATACCAGGAGGAACTCTCACTTTCTACGCCTTATCCGTCCCGCCTCCAACTCTCTCTTTCCCCTCTTCCCCTAATATATTTCTCTATTTCTATGTTGCTATCTCTATATGGCTGAGTCCTTTGTGAAGTGAAAGAGTCTGGATCATCTTGGGAGACCGCAGCCCCGGAAAAAGTGGGTTACTAAATTTCCCGCCCCCTCCTCGACGAATTCAGTCATGACCGGACTCTGAGCTCACCTCCCCTACTCTCGAAGGTCTCTGGATCCTGGCTTGTCTTGTGCCTCTCAATGTTCCAGACTCGCGCGGCAGATCTGGCTGTCAACACTACTGCGCTGGCCAAGTCTGGGACCGTTGCGACCGCATTCGAGTACACCAACGAACAGGCCACCACGCCCACAGCCCTGTCCCGCCATCTCGGTCGGGCAAATAGTACCTCGCGCAAACATTACAACCCCCTCAAACACTCTCCGTCGAAAATGGCCACCTCCGGCTATGCGGTCAGCCCTGAACCGCCGGCGTTGTTCGTGCGGGCCATGTACGATTATGACGCCGATGATCACACCAGTCTGAGCTTCCGCCGAGGCGATATCATCCAGGTCCTCAACCAGCTCGAAACAGGATGGTGGGATGGAGTTATCGAAAACACTCGCGGTTGGTTCCCGAGTAATTACTGTACCATAATCACTGAAGCCGAGGATTTTGGCGACCACTTCGTGCACAGCCACCAAGATACCGATCTCAGCGCGGACTCGGGACTCGAGGATGAATACGGCGACGGACAAGAAGAGGATGAAGTTGACTCAGAAGGAAATCACCGGGACTCGCAACCGATTCTCCCCATCGAGGGTATCCCAGCACCCAAGGAGCAGGAAGAGGCCGCATTTTGGATCCCTCAGGCGACACCCGACGGTCGTCTTTTCTACTTCAATACTCTTACTGGATATTCTACGATGGAGCTTCCTTTCGAGAACCCTACGGGAAGCACGGAAACCGGCCCTCGAGACCGAAACAACTTCTTTGTCCCTGATCAGACACGGCCACCTCCTGAATTAATGGCGCGCGGCTTTGAGCGGGATGAGGACGAGTATGACGGCTCTGCATCGGAGGCGGAGGGAGAGTCGTTGATGTTGGCATCGCACGACTCGATCTCCCGTCGACGTCAGTCCTTGATGGATGGTGTGTCCCCCGCGACATCCATGGATTCCTTGTACCCGCCCGGGAAAGATCTGAAAGCTTCGCAGCCGATGAAGCACGCCCTACAAACGACATACAGCCTCGGAGGTAACAGTACTAGTACTTCTGTTACCGAAAGCTTCTCTAGACCTTCTATCTCTTCCAACCTCCCTCAACACTTTGTCGATGATGGCTTCGCACCGCCAATCACCTGGTCCCTGCTTGTGGATAATATGCGATATGCAGTTGAAGCGTATCGTCAGACCCTTCTCAGCGGTGAACGTGCGGAGTATGTACGAAAGGCCGAGGACATTTCCGACCATCTTCGCATGCTGCTGGCTGCTGGGTCCGACACAACGGACAACCATTCTGGCAATCCATCCATTATTTCCACAAACAAGGCTCTGTACCCCTACTTCCGGGACATGATGTCCAAGTTCTCCAAGTTGGTTTTGTCATCACATATTGCCGCTGCTGACTGGCCTGGCGCCGACTCGGTCAATAAGTGTCTGCAGGAAGCTGAGGGAGTCATGCAGGGCGTATATGGCTATGTGGATGTGGCTCAACAGCAGCGTGGAGATTCTATTCACCGCATTGTTCCTGGTTTCGTCAGCGGCAGTTCTTCCGGTGGTAGCTGGCAGAACAACGGTGTTTCCCTGAGTGCTTCGGGGCCGACATCATTCCTTGTGCCTGATGGAGGAGATTGTCGGGCAGAGCCCTCAGTCCCTCTTGACATGGCTTTCCTGGATTCGATCGACATTCTTCGGAGATCCTTCGTCGGCAGTATTCGTCGACTGGAAGAACTATTGGTGATCAACCGGAAAATTGTTACAGTGGATGAGCATGCTAATATTGCGGATGCAATTTCGGCTGCGGCCATCAAGGTCATTGAACAATTCCGTCCATGGATCTCCTCCGTTGAGTCGATGAACTTGGCACCCCTAGGGACCAGCTTCCAAAATCCCCAGCTAGTAGATTTCAGCTTGCAAAAGCAAAGAGTCTACGATGCCATCGGCGATTTCGTTCTCAGCTGTCAAGCGATCTCTGCTCCTCTGGCCGATGAGTGGGCTGAGCTCCGTGGCGATTCACTCGACGATCGGGTAAACGCCGTACGAGGCATTGCTAGACAGTTGGAGAACTACGTCTCCCAGATCAGTTTCTCGCTGTCGCTCCTCCTGGAACAAATTCCCTCTGAGCCAGAGCCCATTTCACGAAGTGAAAGCCGCCAAGGCGGAGAAGATGAAGGATACAAGAACACACACAACCGCGGCGAGTCTCAGGCCAAGATTGCCTCGGAATCAATTGGTATCCCGTCCTCCTACGCACCAGAAAATGATGGCGACCACAAGGTCCGCAGAAATATGGACAAGGCCCAGCGATTCTTTGGCCAGGCACCGCCTACAGCTATCACCCGAGAGCCACCAATTCGGGAGCCAGTCCGTGAGCCGGAGGAGACCCCCTGGTTCCTTAAGATGGCCCACGAAGGCGAAGTATTCTATGATACCAAGGGAGACTCGCCAATCCTCAAATGCGGAACCTTGGCTGGACTGGTTGAACACCTCACCCGTCACGACAAACTTGATGCGTCCTTCAACAACACCTTCCTCCTTACCTATCGCTCCTTCACCACTGCTCCCGAATTATTTGAGATGCTTGTCCAGCGTTTCAACGTTCAGCCTCCATTCGGTTTGAATCAAGATGACATGCAAATGTGGATCGATCGGAAACAGAAGCCAATTCGATTCCGTGTTGTCAATATCCTCAAGAGTTGGTTCGATCACTTTTGGATGGAACCTAATGACGAGGTGAACATGGATCTCCTGCGGCGAGTCCATACATTTACCAGTGACTCTATTGCCACCACCAAAACACCAGGAACTCCTACATTACTGGCTGTGATTGAGCAGCGACTCCGCGGACAAGACACCACTGTTAAGCGCCTTGTTCCTACCCAGAGCAATGCTGCACCACCCCCGATCATTCCCAAGAACATGAAGAAGCTGAAGTTCCTTGACATTGATCCTACGGAGTTTGCTCGGCAGCTGACCATTATTGAGTCGCGCCTCTACTCTAAGATTCGTCCCACTGAGTGTTTGAATAAGACATGGCAGAAGAAGGTTGGCCCTGATGAGCCAGAACCTTCTCCTAATGTCAAGGCTTTGATTCTTCACTCGAACCAGCTTACTAACTGGGTCGCTGAGATGATTCTGACGCAAGGCGATGTTAAGAAGCGTGTTGTAGTCATCAAACACTTTGTGAATGTGGCTGATGTAGGTGGCACTTTTAATCGTGCTTAACAAACCCTTTGCTAACCCGACTCGGTAGAAATGTCGCGCTCTGAACAACTACTCCACACTGACATCCATCATCTCAGCCCTTGGAACCGCACCCATTCATCGTCTGGGTCGGACATGGGGCCAGGTCAGCGGACGCACATCTGCTATTCTGGAACAGATGCGCCGGCTTATGGCTAGTACGAAGAACTTTGGCGAGTACCGAGAGACCCTGCATCTCGCTAACCCGCCCTGTATCCCATTCTTTGGTATGATTCACAGCCACGAGAAGATTATCTCACTTGGAGTCTTCTACCCGTTTGATCCGAAACTAATCAGGTCTAGGTGTTTATCTTACGGATTTGACCTTCATTGAGGATGGTATTCCTTCGCTTACACCATCGGAATTGATCAACTTCAATAAGCGGGCCAAGACCGCAGAAGTCATTCGGGATATTCAACAATACCAGAACGTCCCTTACCTTCTCCAACCAGTTGGCGAACTCCAGGACTACATTCTCAGTAACCTCCAAGGTGCTGGCGACGTACACGACATGTATGAACGGAGTTTGGAAATCGAGCCTAGAGAGCGCGAGGACGAAAAGATTGCAAGGTATGCTGAAGCTTCAAGCCGAGACAAGGGCTCCTTGTTATTTGCATCTACTGTCGCAATTTTGCGATGATCCATTTGGTGTTCTTTTAAGTGGCGTTTGCCATTTGCTCAGCGATACCCAAATTTGACCTCTTACTCCCTTCCCTTTTCGGGCAAGAAGACAACTGCTATTTCTTTTTTCTCGTTTTCTCAAACCTGTTTCGGCTGTTGAGACTAACCTCTTTTCTTTTGTGAAATCTCGTAGATTGCTATCTGAATCCGGTTTCCTGTAACCGGCCAACATCCCTGTCGAGGTGCATCTGCGGGTGCTCCACCAAGCAGGTTCGACAACTCCGCTATTCGCCCATTCGACACCGGCAACACTGGCGCCACTCGATTTCGGCCACTGTCTTACAGGTCTTTGATAAACACTGGCCGTCCCCTTTTTGGGGCCTTTCTTTGACCCCGGTGACTGTTTAGGAAATCTTATGTCTCCACTCCGAACCTCCTCACCTGTCGGAGCCGTCCCAAGGGGCTATGATGGATACCTGCAGTCAGATCTATCGCCTGCATGTCAATGGTTCCAAATGATCCGCATATGGGCTCGGCCATTCCAAACGCCAGTGTCTTCATTGCGGCAGTTCACCACTACCATAACCATCACCATTTCTTTCTTCGCACATTATTATTGCACCGACGACGTTGTCATTTTCGGTCCTCGATATATACCAGATACCAATTCCCCGACATAGACCCCTTTGATTCGCTGGGATCTTTTGCTTTTTCTTTGTTTTATCTATCACATCCGAGACTTTCAGCCCGAGGGCGCGCCCCCGACCTCATCTCATCATACCATACAGTACCTATACCTACCCTAACCTCACTGTGCCGTGTCACATCCCGACTATACAGTATTCTTCGGTGTATATTTTTCTTTTTTTGCTCCTCCGCTTCCATTCTCACCTTCTCTTTCACATTTCTTTTCTTATTTACATATCTCTTTCACCATATCCCCCCTGGTGTTGTGTGTTGTCGTCGCCGAGATGTGACGATTGGATTTCTCTTCTCTTTCGTCTTTTTTGTTCAGGTTAATGTTCTTGACGCTGTCTTCTGAATAATGTTATGTCACGACCGACTTGATATCATTTTCTGGGTTCCTGTTCCTGTCCGGTGGGTTTTCAAATTCACATTGTGCTGCTGGGTCTTGAGCTGGGTTGTTACTTCTTCTACTTCTTTGTATCTATTGTGTCCTACTAACCATTTGATCTTTGCCTGGGCTTTATATCTCGGGTCAATAGAAGTTGATTATGATATCTTTTTGTTCTTAGCCTTGATATACTAGATGTGTGGGCTGAATTCGCGTTGGCAGGTATAATCCTAGAGTGTGTGGTGGAGACTACGTGACTAAAGCAGGATTACACTACTACATTGATGATTGAGAGGTCGTTAAGTTCGTTCATTCGCAGGAACTGCTGTTGTAGATACTCTATCATCATGATTCATTGCAGAGGCCGCTGGACATAGCAAGGCCTGTCAACTGAAACAATGCCAGCGAATGTAGCAAAGATATCAAACATCAACCCGCTAAGCGCCAATGACACCAGTTGAAAAGAAAAGAAGCGTGCCGGTCATGTCAACATCTACTGGCTAAGATACAATAAAATGTGGGATCAGGCCGTGGAAGAGGGCTCACTTCCAATGCCGTGGAAGAGTTTCATCTTCACTTCCGATGCGAGCAGACCCTTGGCTTCTTCTGCGACAATGCGCTGTCCACCACGGACGACCTTTTCCAACTGTTGGTCCTTAGTGGTAGAACCAGTAGTTCGAGGCCCGGTGCTCTCCATTCCACGCGCGGCTTTGCGCACTTTCTGACCGAGGTCCAGCATCTGCTTATTGCCGAAATCGCGCGAGGTGAAGAGTGGACTTTGACTGAGAGTTGCAACCCAGTATTTGTTCCACAGAAGAGTTAATATTTCTGCATCGAGCGTGCTCTTGAAATGGCTGACGTCGAGGGAATAGTATGAGTTGGCATGTGCGCCAAAGTCCTCTGCCTTGCCAAGCGGGATAGTCTGATATTCATCATCCTCATGAGCCTCCTTGGACGGGACAAAGCCATCAGGGAATGTACGGAAGGCACCAATCTCAACACGACCAGCGGATATGGTACGCTCAGGGTCAATGACAACAGCAACGAACGGACCCGTCATTTGCTGCGTTTGCTGCGTAGCCACATCAATGCCCGATAGCCAGCACCCATACCCGGGATGACTGTGATACCATCCAACAGCATTTTCCATGCGTCCCGCATCCCGACATGATTGCAGATATGACACCATGTACTCGTTCGCCTCGTCTTGCGCATTGACTCGGGTTTCGGTACCCTCGACGGGCAGGCGGAATGCGTCTGTCACGACGAAGGTGTTTGGTAGGATATAGCCTTGCATTAGACCCATCACTTCCAATGAGCCGCCGGAGCGGGCGTGCATCACCATCTTCAATAGTGCCGTGGCGGAGACCCTGACGTGCTTGAAATAGTAGGGATCGGAAGCCCATGGTCGTTCGGCATTGAGGGATTTCTGTGTGGCTTCATCATATTGGTAGAGAGCATCGCGTTGGGGGTCGAAGACGGTTATCGCGTTTTCGAGCTCTGTGTGGGGGAGCTTGGTCAGTTCGTAATCGACAGTACGGATGTGGAGGCACTTACCCCAGGACTGCTGTGCAGCCTGCATTTTTGCGATGTGATGGACAGATTGTCAAATATCAGGGAAATTATTGAAGAACCAGAGAAAAAACAGCAAGGATCGGGGGATTCTGCAAGGAAGTCAAGATAAAGATATCCAATGCAAGTGATGAAGAGAGCGGTGGGGTAGATACTGGCAGTATCTGGCGGTGTGCCACACCAGAGCTGAGCTGAGTCAGCGGTTACCCGTGACAACGATCTGAGCCAAAACATGCGCGGGCAACTTGATGTTATCGCCGATTCAGCCCTGACCCGTCCCCCTCATAAACATCCATCTTCATTCTTCAAATGCCTCTCCACTAACAGCTTTTGCTTACTTCCACTTTCGTTTATTCTCCGCCGCACCTTGTGTGCTGAGAACCTTGTGTGTGGCTCTCTTGTTTTGATCCCGACATTGGTCGTTGTCGCAGCTCCGTTCGGCAATTTGTCGGATTGGATACCTCTCCTTGACATCTTCCGACTCTTGTCACCCTCTTTAAGGGACTTGCTTTATGATGGCGGTTGATACCAGCTACCTGACCACTCAGGTCAACAATATTGTCGAGCAGCTCCATGGCATCTACGACGAAATCGGAGTCCCTCCTCGCGAGCGCGAAAATCGCGAGGCAGAGGTGAGCTGAATATTATGGCGAAATCATGATCGCATAGCTAATCAACTGATATAGCTCTTTAGCGCTCTGTCGGAGACCCTGAACAATCACCTCAAGGTCGTTGACGAGTAAGTTGAAAATGTCAACAAACCGCCCAGCCTAGCTAACCATATCTATAGTGAGCGAGAAACGATGACACTTGAGGCGCAGCGCCTTATCACACAAATCCAACAGATGGAGTCATCGCTGACCGATGAAATGGCCAACGGCCAGTTCGAGCTTAACCGCGATGACCTTCGCATTACTTACCCGCTCAACCGGTGCATTGCCTTCTTGCGCGAGAAGAACGACGCTATGAGCAAGCTGCACCGTGAGCGCTTCGAGCAAGTCAAGAGTAAGTTTCCTTATGCGCAAGTGATGCCGTTGACTAACACTTGACAGAACTCGTTGATGCACTTGAATCTTACTCCTCTCACCTCGAGCCAACCTTTGTTAAACTTGAACTTCCCCCTACCGCGGAAGGTTCTTCAATCCCACCAAGCTTCGACCTTTCGCCCCTTTATGTTACGGCATTGGATGCAGAGTTCACCCATGTCTACGAAGAGTACCACCGCCGTGTCGCACAAGTCCAATCTACCTGCGAAGAAATGATCAAGCTGTGGGCTGAGCTGGGAACTCCCCAGGCTCAGACAGACTCCACTATCGTCAAATGTTATCGCGAATCCCCCGAGCAGCTCGGCCTGCACGAGTCCGATCTCATCAGCCTGATGGCTAAGCGCGACAAATTGGTGGAGCAAAAAGCCGGACGCGAACGCAAGATTAAAGAACTCCGCTCTACCGTGGAGTCTCTATGGGATCGCTTTGGTGTTGAGAATGCTGACCGCAAGGCATTCCTGGCTGCCAACCGTGGCTGCGGCTTGCGCATTATCAATGAACTCGAAGAAGAATTGACACGTCTCAATGAGCTCAAGCGACAAAATCTCCACCTGTTTGTGGAAGATGCGCGCTGCCGCTTGCAAGAACTCTGGGATAGTCTCTTCTTTTCCGAGGAGGAAATGCTTGATTTCACCCCTGCCTTCTCTGATGTCTGCAGTGATGCTCTGCTCGAGGCACACGAAGCTGAGATTCAGCGCCTTGAGGCTCTTAAGGAGCAACGTGCCCCAACCCTAGAGATGATTGACCGACACCGCACTCTCTTGACCGATCGTGAGGCGCTGGCAACTTCAAGCCAAGATGCTTCTCGTCTTATGGGCCGCGGAAACAAGGGAGAGAAGCGCGACCCTGGAAAGCTATTGAGAGAAGAGAAGCTGCGCAAACGAATTGCAAAAGAGTTGCCCAAGCTTGAGGCTGATCTCCGCAAAGAGTTGGAACATTGGGAAGACGAATTTGGCCGCCCATTCCTCGTCCACGGAGAGCGATATCTCGATGCCTTGACCCCTGTTGCCGCAAAGCCCCCGCCGCGCTCCAAGACGCCTTCCGCTCCTCCCTCCACTACTAAGTCTACCTTCGCTAGACAGCAGCCGCTATCCCGTCCTGGTAGCTCCATGAGGGGACCACCTCCTCCTCGCTCAGCCACAAAGACGCCCACTAGCAGTGGCCCAGTCAAGCACAACACCATTGGCTATGGCGCCTCTCGGGCTGGTGCTACATCCAGGGCCGGCGCCACCTCTCCTTCCAAGCTTCCCGCTCGCGTTCCCCTGGGAAACATGCCGCATGGAAACAACTCCCCTGAGCGCCGTGCGCAGCCCGGCAGCTACTCATCTAGCACGCTCAATGGAAAGATGCCGCCTCCTCGCGGACCTCCCCCTCGGATGCGTGCGTTGACCGTTGAATCCAGAGAGGACCGCTTTAACCACCTCATGGACCCGCCCCGTTGCAACAGTGCCATGTCAAGTGCCTATGTGCGACCTGTGAGCCCTGAAGACGTCTATGATGACCGCCAGCGATCTTTCATGAGCGCGTCCGGCTTCTCCAACTCCCAACGCTCCACTGGATTCTCTCATTCATCCCACTCCTCCCAATCCTCGCTGTCTCTGAATTCCTCCATGCAGGCTTTCCCTCGACCAAACCCCTACCTCAACCATGCAGCTCCTCCTCCAGCTGCCCGCCAGGTCTCAAATGCTTCGACTGTGAACACTGCGACCTCTGGCTCCGAGAACTGGGAGACCTTTGAGGATGGATCAGACGCCGAGCCCGACACTAGCGACATTTACTTCTCTAAGCTACGTGCTGCACACGGAGGAAAGCGATTTGCTCCTGAAGACTCAGCCGACCTCATCGGAAAGAAGGCCAAGGGCATCCGAAGTGTCAGTCCAGATGGCCCGCACCCTGGACAGGTCTTGCGCGTCGCAGGCAGTGATAATGAGTGGGCCGATGACTTCGAGTCTTACTAAATCCCCTAAAGTCCTATCGATGCCCTGGCCATAATGCAACCTGCCTCTTGGGTTTCAATTCCCTGGACATTTTCTTCCATGGCGCTTCGGATATCCATTGGTTGATCTGCAACCACTACACTTGATGATCCCACGACCGGATTCTGCACGCCTCATGGCTCATGATGCATCTCGACATTCCCTCAATCGAGCTTCCTTTAGATTCCAAACTGGCTGGTTTCTTCTTTCTTACCATGATTCCCCGAGTGGCCGTCTTCAACTTCTCTTCCTGTTAAAACTTACGACTTATCATGTCAATCTTGTTTATGCTCTCCTTCATCTGTCGATGTTATTGAGCCCAATGCTTCCGATCGACGGATCTTTCTGTTTCAATCTTCACTGGGTTTAATCTTCTCCTTTTTTCTGTTACTTTGGCATGGTGTTCTCCTTCGTTTCTCTGTCACTTATGGTTTTTCTTTGGCGCGGTGCTTACGGCTTTTTTATTCCCTCGATCTCCGGTTTCTGGGGTCGGTCTTTTGCTTTCGTCTTAGCTACTGCTCTTTCTTTTTTTATGTATTTGTCAGCGAAGTCAGTGTTTGAATA